AGAGGGAGAGGGAGAGGGAGAGGGAGAGGGAGAGGGAGAGGGGTCCTTACCTTTCTCTTCAGCTTCCTTTGGGTTAGTGGCAGATGCATTTTCTCCTTTGCAAAACAGGTGCTACAATCTCTGGCCAATACTTTAAGCTCAGCAGGACTTGCCAAATCTGGCAGAAAAACTTTAATTTTTAAGGGCAGAGAGCATATTTTGATTATTGAACCTGACCTCCTCTATAAGCAGGGCAGGAGAGCAAATTTTTATATCAAACCCATTACTTTTCTTTCAGGCAGACCATGCATTGCAAAATAATTCTCTTTTTTTTTCCCCAAGTTTTGCATTTCAACCCCCCTCCCTCACTTTTTTTGAAAAAATTTGCTCTGTTTGTTAATGACTTTTTTTCATTTTTATACTTTTAATTTAAAATTTAATTTAATTTAATTTTTTTTTAAAGTTTTCATCTCCCTGCCAATGAGTTTTCTATTCCTTTGCCTGCTGGATGACAGAGTCTGCTTCCCAGATCCTGAGAGTTTGGGATCAGTTGGAGCCTGTGAGACTCTCAGGAGTAAGGACTGTGCCAGAGCAAAGATGATCATTTAGAGGCAGATTGGAGAAAGTGGAGACTGGAAATGAAAGTTAAATCCCATCTCCTGGTACATTAATCAGCAGGAGTGCGTTCATTCCTTCTCACAGGCGGTTTCTTGGCACAATTATTCATCTTTGCTCAGTTTGAGAAGCTGGAGGTGGGATAAATACCTCTTGTGCAAACAGAAATAGATGGCCAAGTCACAAAAGTTGAAAAAAACCAACCCAGTTTCTAATTCCTTGGGAGTATGGACAGGGAAGAACCTGTCCAGCCTGGCCTTGGACACTTGCAGGGATCCAGGGTCAGCCACAGCTGCTCTGGGCACCCTGTGCCAGGGTCTCCCCACCCTCACAGAGAACAATTCCTTCCTAAAATTCAACCTAAACCTGCCCTTTTTCAGCTTAATTTCCCCCCTGGTCCTGTCACTACATCCACTCATCTGAAAAGTTGCTCTCTCCCTCTTTTTAACAAGCTCCTTAAAATGAAAAAGGTGAGAGCAAATACAGAATATGGAATTATGCAGCTCACACTCCATCCCACCTGAAATGCCACCCACGACAAATATTTGCCTGGACTCCAGTGGTGGGGAATCCACATCCTAGCTGGGAAAGTGATTTTGGTAATGGAATATCAGAGCACTCATTATTGATTTCTGCAGCACTTTTGGGGTGGTGATGGTTTGGCAGCTGTGCCCAATGTATTTTGGGAAATACGTTGGAATAATGTATAATGGGGAATAATGGAATTTTGGGAAGTCTGAGGACGACACAGGCCCACGAGTTCTTTGGCAAAGAGAGCACAGGGAGTGTTAGAAGGATAAATTCTACCCATATTTATCTGTGTTTATGTGCAGATCTGAGCAGACATATCTATTAATACAAATATATGAATATACACTTGTACAAAACCACATTTATACCCTGTCAAGCCCCCTCCCCTAAAGCTTTAAGAAGCAGCATTTAAGCTTGAAACTCTGAAACAGCTGAGAAATGAGAGCCCCACAGCAATCAAAGCGAAATTGGATTTGCACCGTGAATCATCTGGTGAGGACTGCAGTAATAAACAGGCATAAAACAATGGCAATTTACTCACATATTAACAACTGTGCTGTCGAGGCAGCAAACCTTTTAAACCCATAAAACCACCCTGCTGTGAGAAAAACAGGGCTACCCAGGGGCATTCCCTTTTCCCAAGGATGCGTGGAGAAATTCCAATTTCCAGCTTGCAAATGAGGAAGAGCTTTTGGGATACCTCAGCCAAAGTTTGGCTCTTTGTTCCTGTTGGCATGTGTTGGCTTTAGGGATTTTGGGACTCTTTTCTTGTGTTCCTGTCAGTTTTGTGGATTTTAAACACCTCCTGCAAATTTGGGGAAGTCTCCACTGACAAGGAGAAAGACCAAGGTGTTCCTCTCCTAATGATTCCAGCTGAAGCATCCTGGCCATGGATGGGGTAAAGATTTGGGACCTTTTCTTTCCAAAACCACCCTCCTGCCACAGCTGAGCTCAAATTCCCCATCCACCCGTTGTTCTGTCGGGTTTTAAAGCAACAATGGATGTGCCAGGTGAGAGCAGAGGGGTTTGAACAGGCAGTGCTGCTGCCACTGAATTATGGTCACATTTCAGTGAGATTTATAAATCATCTATAGCCCTTAGGGATGGTTTTTATTATTCTTTTAATTTTTTTTTTTTTCAGCCAGAAAGCAGCAGCTGTGAAGGGAAGAAGAGCAAATTTTCAGCACAGGAGATGGATCAGACCTTGATTTTTTTTGTGAAAATCCCAAAACCTTGCTTTCAGTGAGATTTTTAGCCATGGTGAGCTGGACTAAAATGGGCTGGGTCCCTCCTTGCCTCAGTCTTTTTGAAGGCAAAGGACAGAAGTGAAGAAGTCCAGAAATCTCCAAACTGTTTGAAATGTCCTGCTTGAGGCCGTACTATAAAAAGTTAAATTGGAGATCTGGGCACAATAAATGCCAGATAATGTTCTCAGAAAGTGCATAAAACCTATTTTTGATGCTTGCACCCTTCCCTCCAACATCAAGACATGTTATCCACCACCACTGCACACAGGAAATCTTTAAATTTAGGCAAGTTTGGTTTATTGAACTGAATAGAACTGAACATTTTTGCAATAAACCCTTTCTTCCTGGGACTCAGTGTAATTTACACTCTCTGATTTGTCCTTCCCAGCCTCTTGGCAGGACTCTGTGTCCTGGGATGTCACAGGGGCTGCTTGTGTGCTCCATCCTGATCTGACTTTTGGTGATGAGTTCAACCACAGAAAATATCCTGTGTCCTCTTTTCCCAAGAGAAAAGGAGGGATCAGACTTTGTTTCTCTCTGTTCTTTGACCAACATTTATTTACCCATCTCCCAGCCCAGGTCCTTCTGCCACCATCCTGAGCCAGTTTTGCACATCAGGTTTTCTATTTCCTGACGTGTGCAGATGTCTTAGATAGCCTAGAATGGCTCAAATGGTGTGAAATGCCCATATTCAATCTGGAATTAATTATTTCTTTTTCTCTAATGGAATTTAAATGTGACTCCTACACAGACACCTCATTGGGGTGGAGAGCTTTTAATCCATGAGCTGAATCCCACAGAAGATCACAAAAATACCCCCAAACCTCTCAGTGACTTTAGTGTCACTCTGTGTTTTGAGTCTCCAGGGAGGGACCCTTAGAGGTCTGAAAGTGGGAAAAAAAAATGGAAATCTTCACACAGGATGGCTGAAGTTTCTTGGGACAAATCCCAGTCCCAGCTACAATCCCTGTCCTGTGAAAAGATTGTAAAAGTCAGTTTGTTGAGGGATGGTTTTCAATTTCTGAGTGGCAAAAGAAATTTCCCAGCAGGAACTGGCACACAGGGATGGCGAAATCCTATGACCTGGATGACTTGATGTGCATTTGGAACTAAATTGAGTTTTCCATTTTTTTCCCTCATTTCTGCCCATGGGCAGGGAACTGCAGGGTGCAATTTTGGCATGGATGGGCTGCCACAGAAGGAGGGGACACGGAGAGGTCTGGACCTTTCCCAGAGCCTGGGTCATTCCAGCTGAGTCCCTTCTCTGACCACAGGAAATTCAGGAGGAACAGAGGGAAAGAAAAAGCCAAGAGTGAAATACCCCCTGAAATATCCTCCCAGCTGACAGCAATTGCTGCCTCAGGGATTTCTCAGCTGAGATTATATAAATGTTTCCAACTGCCCTTGATGGGTTTATCTGTCACCAAGGCACCTAATTGCTGTTCTACCCCCTCCAGACAGATGAGATATCTCGTGGTGATGAGCTCCACTGTTCAAAAATGAGCCATGTGAAGAATTACCTCGCTGGGTTCATTTTGATAATTGGGCTTGATGTCGCTTAGTTCTTGCACCATGAGAGGCAGTGAACGCTCATTCTCTGCCTGTCTTCTCAGCACTCCTGGTTTTACAGACCTGAACTCGCAGTCACCAGAGTGACATTTGGTTTAAATGTTCCTTGGGTGAGAACTAGCCTGGAACTTTGGGCCATTCTAAGTGCATTCTACCCTTTCTCGACTGAATAATCACAAAAGCAAAGAGGAGTCAAGTTACACATATTCAGAGGTGCAAAGATATTTTTAAGGTCATTCTCAGTTTCTTCCATTCTCCATTTCTTCCCCCAAATTCTCCAAAGTAATTTTCACCTCTGACAGCTATCAAATATTGATCCAGGGTTTTAATGTTAGATTTCATTTTGATTTTCCCTTCCAGGGGTCCAGGGGCAGCCACAGCTTCTCTGGGCACTCTGTGCCAGGGCAGCACCACCCTCACATTTATTTCTAATATCTAATCTAAACTTGCTCTCCAGATGTGGCTGGTGCAATCCCTCTATGCCAGTGTGTCAAGAAACTGAGTGTCCTCTCCTGACTTGCTTTAATCATTAATTCTTCCAAGTAGGAAAATCCTTGTGAAATTGCAAAAAAAATGTGTTAGAGAAATTAGCAAGATTGGATCATTTTCCTGATTTTCTTCCTCCTTCATCCCCTATAACCATTGTTTTAAAAATCAGACACAGCAACAATTCACAGCAGCGTTTTAGACAGGTTTGTGCATGTATTTAGTACAAACAAACAAAAAAATGTGCATTCTGTTTCATAGAGCTTACATCAATCTGGCAGAACCTGAAACACAGAACAGAAATACTCTGGCTAATAAATACATCTGGGGATGAAAAATAAAAATCTATACATAAAAAATTCCAACGTTCTGCTAAAGAAAATGTACACTTATATACACACTGTAAACAATAGTAATGCAACCCAGCTGCAGCCCAGCTCAGGCTGACAGGGACCTTCCTTCCCTCGTGGACTTGGGAGAGTCCAGTGACACAAAAATTCATTTTCCACCCTCAACTCTCGGTTCCTTGAAGCAGCAAGGTCTGACAATGCAATTGTGACATGGAGCCAGTGCACTGAGGTGGGGTCTGATGGATAACTGAGGTGCAGGTGCTTTGGGAAATGGCCTGCCTGGAAAATCTGCTGGAGCAGGGCCATTCCCACAGCTGGTCACACCCTTGAGGATCCAGGGAAATCTGTGGGATCAGACTGAATTTACCTCCTGAAAGTCTGAGCCCGTTTTTCCAAACTTGGAAATGTTTCAAGGAGAAATGCTCAATTCCAGACACTCAAGTCATATTTCATACAAAATTTTCCTTCCTCCCTGCCCAGCAAAGCCAGCCCTGTCTCCTCTAAATGAAGCCCTGCATGAGCAGCCTCAGAGTCCAGTCCTGGCACTGCTTCTGGTGCAAGATGAAACCAAATGCCAAATGAAAACAGGGCAAAACCCAAATATTTCACCTGAATGCAGCACAGCAGAGCTCAAGGCTTTCCTACAGCACCTTCCAGGGCATCTCTTGAGGCCAGATCAAACACAGAGAGCCAGAATTTGGGCATTTATGTGTGTGTGTCATGTGTGTGCTTAAACAGACTTTATTTTCTCCCTTGTAGGTCTGTAAAGACTTGGGGTGGAGAGGCAGCAGACCTCCAGACTAATCCTTTTTTCCTTCTTGAAAAGCTTTCAAGGGGCTGGAGGCTGTAAATATAAATATTTCAATACTGGAGAAAAAAAAATATATATATATTGAAAAGATCAGGGAGCAGCATAAGCAGAAATACCAGCTCATTTATAGGAATGCACTGCTTGCCAGCATTTGCTAAATCTTCATTTATAGAGGGATGCTTGCCCATTTGCAGAAGAATGCCTGTTATTTTGGGAGTGACACATTTATAGAAACACAGATCTGATGTCTGTCTGTCTGTCTGGTCACAGATGCACTCATGGACTGTCCTCTCCCTGCTCCTTTCTCTGCCACATGGCCAGTGCCTTCCATTGGGATCCCAAAAACACCCAGGAAACCCGTGGCAGCTGCACTTCTCACACTTCAAAATGACTTTCTGTGTCACCCCATCATCACTGTAAGGTCTCATTTCCCTCCAAAGCCAAACAAACAGGGGATAAAAGCAATATTTCCCCACAGAAGTTCCCTGCTTTGGTAGGGCAGAGCTGGCAACCTCAGCCTGGTTTAGCAGATGCTGGAGAAAATGCAGGTGGTTGTGAGTCTGAGTTCAGTGCAAGTGCTGGGATTTGCTGCTGGGAGGAAAATATCTGGACAAAATCTGCTGGTATTTGTGCAATAATTGGTCCAGTTTGTTCTGCATCAAGTAAAGGGTGTTGAGACAGGGCCAGCCCCAGATCTCTTGTCTCAATATGCACTGCACAAAAGAGTAAAACAATAAAAAAGTCCAACTTCCCTCCTGCTTTGTTTTCCTTTAAAGCAAATCAGAACATCAGAAAGAGAGGTGACATTCTCCTGGCTGTGCCTGGGAGCCTTTCATCTTCCTTTGGCAGCCACCCTTAGTGGGATGAGCTGGATGTGCTGCAGGCACTTCCATGAAAGGCTCCTCATGGGTTTGAGGGGCAGTGCTGATGTGGAGGAGTTTCCACTCAGGACATGTTTCCACCCCTCAGGACTTCACATTCCTGCTCTTTAGTTCCCTGGCTTGGGGCACTTCACCTCAGATCCGTCCTCTGCCTCCATCACCTACATCCTGCTCATGGCCTAACCTGATGGTCGCTCCTTGGGGCTCCTTATCTAAAATTTGATGAAACCACTCTGAATTTTCAAACCAGTGCCTGCAGTCCAAGTCCAAGCAGAGTTTGGGTGACCATTTCCTGAGCTGCCTTGTCAAGGTGGGCTTGCCATGGCTTCAGCTCCTTGAGTTTCCTGGAGGAGGCCGTGGTGCCCTCCTGAGGGGTGCTCACACTCTGGGGCTGTGAGCAGGGAGAAACTCCACTTTAATTGTCACTGCTTTTGACACAACCAAGGCAATTGTTGGCAGCCACCAAAAGTTTGGTGTGTCGAGCATGTGGGAGGTCCCATGGGAGAAGGATCATGAGTGTGACCCTGACTGGGGAGAAGATCTCTCTTCCTGAGAAGCTCAGCTCCACTCCAGCTTGGACTCTACAGGCAGTAGAAATGCAAACTTCTGAACTCAGCCACCCCACCTTTCCTGAGCCACAGCACAGGCTGGCTGAGGACCTGCATTATGGAATCACAGGATCATTAAGGTTGGAAAAGACCTTTTGGATCATGGAATCCAACCATTAACCCAGCACCACCCCACTCACTGTTAAACATCTCCTCAAGTGCTACATTCACATGTCTTTTGAACACTTGCAGGGATGGTGACTCCTCCACTGCCCTGGGAAGCCCGGTCCAGTGCCTGACCACCCTTTGAGTGAAGAAATTCTTCCTCACATCCAGCCTAGATCTTCCCTGACACAACCTGAGGCCATTTCCTTCTTTCCTGAGTGAAGCCCCTGGGATGCATTTTTTTTATCCTGTGTTTTCTGAGAAAAAACATCAAGAGCAAAGAAGGAGACAGGAAAGTTTGGGGATGACTGACACCAGAAGGAGCTGATTTCTCTGTGTGTCACAGATGGATGTTCACTAAAGCAAGGTGGTTTGCAAGTGTTTCACTGGAAAGTGAAATGCAAAATGCTTCACAGGATGGAATTAGAGGAGAGAGACCTGCACACCCCTTGGCAACAGTGCACACATCTGGAATACTCCTCTGGCCTGAAACCAGGTGATGTGGAAGGGCCAAAGCTGTGGCCACTGCAGAGATGATGGCTGAGAGCCGGGATCCCTCCACCTTGCTCGGGAATACCCCAGTCTGCTCTCCCTCCAAAGCCAAGGCCTCGTCTGGATGTCCTGCTCAGGACCTACAAGCTCCCAACCCACCCACATG